GGAGTGTTGGGTTAGATCTTAACCAGGTATTTGAGGCAAATACCGGAGGTCAGGGCTGCAGAAGGGCTGTTCACTTTTGTGGATATTTCTAAGTATTGACAAGATGTAGGACAGGCCCTGGCTGTAGAGTGGTAAGATGTGTTGGTTGGAAGTTGTAAATTTGAATTCTGCTCTGGCACTGTAAGCTTCATGGCCTTAGGTAGGCAGGGGACATCAGTTTCTCCATCTGAATTGTACCACTGCCCTGGTCTTGGCTGAGGGTTATACGAGATAGTATAGGCTAAGGAATTAGGTGTGGGAAAGGAAACACAGTGTACAAGCAGCTGCATACTGGAGGAAAATACTCACAAAACGTATTCAGTCAGCTGTGTACATCCTTGGGCTCCTCCCCGGCAATTCTATCTGTCTTGGGTTGAAAATATTTTTTTTATTTTAAAGAGATTAAGACAAAACAGGACATAACAAAACAGATCAGAACAGAACAATGTAAGCAACACAGTATTTCACCAGAAGATAACCCGTAATTAACAGTAACTAACATAATGTCTCTTTCTTTGAAATAGTTGAGCATAACTTCATATACAATAGTATCAAACATAACAAAATAGTATAAAACCATTAAAGAGGATGAAAGTATTACAGGGCATTCAGAACTAAATAACAGAAAATGAACAACGGCTACTATATTATCTCATTTTTCATAGAAAATTTGTTTATACTATCACATATAATATAATTCAATAAGATACAACATGATAGAACCAATGGAAACAGAAAAGTAAAAGCATGGTAGGACTTCAGAGTAAGATGATATTAAATTAGCACTGGCTATTATAATGACTTGTTTTCTTCAAAATAGCTGTTCATACCATCACAGATAATAAAATCAAACAAACCAGGATAAACCCATTCCAACTAATAAATGCAATCATTATAAGGCTTCAAAGCAATGTAATGCGGAATCATGATTACTATAAACTCTTATGTACTCTTACCATTTCTTACACTAGGAAGACTATATGGTATTTATACATGTGAGTTTGATTTATTTCGCTTATGAGTATGGTCTCAAGTTACACCCATTTATTAATAAATATCTCTGTGTGATTATTCTTTATAGCTGAGTAGTACTCCATTGTATAAAAATACCACAACTTTTTTATCCATTTCTCAGTTGATGGACACTTAGGTTGTTTCCAAGATCTGGTTATTACAAACTGTGCTGCTATAAATATGGGTGCACATATATCACTGTGGTACAATGTTTTCAGTTCTTCTGGTAATATGCCTAGAAGTGGAATAGCTGGGTCAAATGGGACTTCCAATCCCAGCTTTTTGAGGAATCTCCAGACTGACCTTCACAGTGGTTGCACCAGTCTACACTCCCACCAACAGTGTAGGAGAGTTCCTTTCCCACCACAGCCTCACATTTGTTGTTGGTAGTTTTTTTGATCCTGGCTATTCTTTCCAGGTATCTCAGTGTTGTTTTGATTTGCATTTCTCTAATGACTAATGATGATGATTACTTTTTCATGTATTTGTTTGCCATTTGTATTTCTTCATCTGAGAACTGTGTATTCATCTCAGATGCCTATTGTAAACCCAAATATTGAGTTTAGTCACCCAAGTATTGTAATCCTCTTCTAGTCTTCCTCACAATCCAAAAATTTATATTTCTAATCCCATTGAGATGTTATTGGAATCCCAGCTGGTCAATTCCAGTCTACACCACCAGAGCAAACCATGGCAAGAGTAAAAACACAAAGGCGTCTTCCAAATTAAGGGCAGTCAAGGGGTCCTAAGTCCAGTCCTTGTGAGGACCTGTGGACAAAGGCCACCATCCTAGGCCTCTCCCAGCATTTATCATCTTGTGAAGAAAGGGGGAGTCGCTCAGGGATGAGTGATAGTGAGGATGTCGGGGATTACTGAGTAACTTGAGCTGGCTGGCCAGGTGCAAGAATGGCATCTCTGTAATTTGCAGAGATAAAGATATGCAGAAGGATCAATTTACATAACCCAATTAAGGTAACAGTAGAATTGTTTTGGAAGGCTACCCTTTGGCTTGTGATACGCAAACTCTTGGGCACTGGGGAGTCATAGCCTCTAGGCTCCTACCCAGTTGACGTTCCCGGAGCTGTTTGCTTTAACATCTCATTTGCTCAATCCTGTTTGTGGAGAGCACCGTTTGAGGAAACAGGACTGTCTGATGGCTATAGACTTTGCATATTAGCACCTCAGCCAGCCTTATTTGCAATGCTTAGAGCGAATTGAAGAGAGAAGGAAATACCCTAGCCAGCCTTTTACATATCAGTATAAGGAAATGAGTCTCCAAGTAATCAAAGTCACAGCAATTGTTTTGGATTCAAAGGGAGACACTGGAGTTTTCTCCCACAGATGCCCATTTTTGGATTGGTCCTTGAATTTGGGGGGTCTGATTTTTTTTAAATTCTTTATATGTTTTAGACAGAAGTCCTTTGTCTGAGGGACAGTTCACTAAGATTTTTTTCCCAGTTTGTGGGTTTTCTTTTCACTATGCTGGAGATTTCTTTTGGCGTGCATAAACTTTTTAATAAGATGTGATCCCAGCTATTAATTCTGGGAAGTAGTTCCTGTGCAGTTTGATTCCTATTCATGAATTCTCTACCTACCTCTATGTCTTCAAGATTTTTACCTACTTTGTCTTCTGACAGATTTAGTGTTTCTGTTTTAATATTCAGATCTTTGATCCATTTAGATTTTAGTTTAGTATATGGTAATAGGCATGGGTCTAGTTTTAGTTTTCAGCATACAGAGAGCCAGTTTTTCCGGCACCATTTATTAAAGAGACTATCATTCTTCCAGTGACCACATTTGGCTCATTTATTAAAGGTAAGGTGGTTGAGTGTCCTTGCCTTTGCTGCTTAGAATTGCCTTTGCTATTCTAGGTCTCTTCTGGTTCCAGATGAACTTGAGGAGTGATTTCTCTAGATCTATGAGGTATGTTGATGATATTTTCATTGGGATTACATTGAAACTGTATAACAGTTTTGGAAGAATGGCCATTTTCACAATATTTATTCTTCCTATCCATAAGCAAGGGATGTCTTTCTATTTTCTGAGATCCTCTTCAATTTCTTTTTTCAGGGTATTATAATTTTCCCTGCATAGATCTTTTACTTCTTTCATGAGATTAATTCCTAAGTATTTCATTTTTTTGGATCCTAGTGTTAAGGGTGTAGCTTCTCTTATTTCTCTCTCCATGATTTTGTTGTTAGTGTATAGAAATGCTATTGATTTTTGAGTATTGATTTTGTATCCAGCTACATTGCTGAATTTATTTACTATATCTAGAAGTCTTTCAATGGAGTTTAGGGGGTCTCCTAGCTAGAGTATCATGTCATCTGCAAATAATGATAATTTAACTTCCTCTTTTCCTATCTTTACCCCTTTTATTTCTCTCTCTTGTCTAATTGTTCTGGCTAGTATTTCCAGTACTATTATTGAATAGGAGTGGTGATAAGGGACATCCTTGTCTTGTGCCTGATTTTAAGGTAAAGGCCTTCAGTTTTTGGCCATTTAATATGATGCTGGCTGTTGGTTTGTCATAGATGGCCTTTATCATATTGAGGTAAAGACCATCTATTCCAATTTCCTGTAAGGTTCTTAGCATGAATGAATGTTGGACCTTATCAAAAGCTTTTTCTGCATCTATAGAAATGATCATGTGATTCTTACTTTTGGTTTTATTGATATGGTGGATTACATTTATTGATTTACATATGTTGAAGCATCCCTGCATGCCTGGGATGAATTCCACTTGGTCGTGGTATATAATCTTCTTGATGACTTGCTGCATCCTGTTTGCCAATATTTTATTGAGGATATTTGCATCTGTGTTCATTAGGGAGATTGGCCTGTAGTTCTCTTTTTTAGTTGGGTCTTTCTCAGGTTTTGGTACTAGAGTAATATTTGTTTCCAGGAATGACTTAGGAAGGATTGCTTCTCTTTCAATTTCATTGAAGAGTTTGAGGAGTGTTGGCATTAAGTCTTCTTTGTATTTCTTGTAGAATTCCACAGAGAATCCCTCTGGGCCTGGGCTCTTCTTTGTAGGTAAGGACTTAATTACATTTTCAGTTTCATTAATAGAGATTGGGTTATTCAGCAGTTTTACATCTTCTTGACCTAGCTTTGGTACTTTGTAGGTTTCTAGGAATCTGTCCATTTCTTCTGTGTTATTGAACCTATGAGAGTAAAAGTTTTTGAAATAGGTGTTGATGATCTTCTGCATTTCACAGAACCTGTAGTGATTTTGCCTTTTTTTATTCCTTATTGGAAAATAATTTTTAAAAGTTGTGTCTATACTGAATACATACAGATTCTTCTTTTGGTTACTATTCAATAAACAATATAACAACTGTTTATATAGCATTTGCATTGCATTAGGGATTATAAATAATATACAAATGATTTAAAGAATACAGTGAGTTTGTGTGTGTGCTTATATGTAAATATTGTGCCATTTTATATAAGGGACTTAAGCACTGGCATATTTTGGTGCCCAATGTGGGGACCAATTTCCAGGGGATCCAAAGGCTATTTTATTAGAGGTTAATATCCAGATTATACAAACAGCCATTAAACCTTAACAACAAAGTAAACTGATTTTAAAAATGGGCAAAGGACTTGAATAGATGCTTTTTCCAAAAAAACATGTAAATGGCCAATAACATATGAAAAGATGTTTGACATCAGTACTCTTTAGGGAATTGAAAATCACAACCATGATATCCCATAATACTCACTAGGATGGCAATTATGGAAGATAAAAAACAAAAACAGAAAATAAGTACTGGTGGATATGTGTAGCAATTGGAATCTTTATGCTTTGTTGATGGAGCTGTAAAATGATGTAAGAGAGATGGAAACCAGTATGAAGTTTCTCTAATATGTTAACAACAGAATGACCATGTGATCCAACCTTTCCTTCTTTCTCTGTTTTCTCTGTCTTTTACCTCTCTCAGGTGGCAGAATCAAAGTGTATATCTGGATATTACTGAGCCTCACAAAAGAAGAAAGTGTTACCATGCTACAAACAGTAGTTAGCCCTCAAGGACATTATGGTAAGTGAAGCAAGCTAGTCACAAAAAGATGAATACGAAGTCCTTTATAGGAGATACCTGACTAATCAAATTCAGAAGCAGAAAGTAGATTGATAGTTGCCATGGACTGAGGAGAGGGAGAAGAGAGTAATTTTTCAATAATAATAGAGTTTCAGTCTCAAAATGAAAACATTCTAGATATTGTGCATATAAACTACAATAATTAACATTATTATATCAAATGCTTACAAATGATTAAGATGGTAAATGTTACATTATATGTTTTTACCATAATAATTAAGAAAGAACTAAGTACAGTGCCTACCACATAGTCAGGTCTCAAACACTGGTGACTGATCATTAGCATTTTGTTTGTCTTAAAGAAGTAGGAGGGGATAAGGAGCTTTCATAATCAGCCAAACAGCTCTACTCTGCACGAAAGCTGGAAACAACCAAAGATTAGCTGGAACAATGAAATTGTTAAAGAAATCTAAAACCCTTACTTGGAAAGAGCTTAACCTGTCAAACAGTTGATGAAATGCTCAACTAAATTGTGGTAGGTTACACAACATTATGTAAAATGCAGTCCCATTTTTATGAAAAAAATATTAATTCATATAAAACCCAAAAAAGATTTGGATATTTAAGCACCTTGGGGTGAATAATGATTGTTCCTGTGTAGGTGGATGGATTTTTAACAGTAGTTAGCCTGGATTAATTGAGCAGAAAAGGAGTTTGTTCAGTGGATGCTGAACAGCTCCGTCATCAGTGAATGTCTCAGTGTTCAAATGTACTACTTGAATTTGTCTAATGAGAGGACCACCGTCACCACCAGTAAGCCCCTATGTCTCCCGCCTTCTCAGAGTCCTGTGCATACCAGCAAGGCAAGCTGTAGCCACCACAATTCCTGAATGTGACTACTTTAGCTCTGTCAGCACCTGATGGAGGCCCAAGAAGGACAATCTTGAAGACTAGCTCATCAGTAGCTCAAAATAATGTACAAATACATCCTTGCTCCAACTCTTCCAATTCATGGAGCCCCAGGTGGGAAGCTCCTCAGTCCAGTTCCCTACAGCCCCCTGCTCCCTGGTGAGCACTGTCTGGTTGTGTTCATGGGCCTCCCCCTGTAGTCAAATATCTTCATATTCCTTAAGGAATGATCGCTCCCAGCGTGCTATCCCCTTGGGTCTCTTTTTCTCTTTTCATTGGCCTCTAGTGGAGATGTCTGTCTTTGAATCTAGCCAGTATGAAATGATCAGACCTTCCTCCTATCCTACATGTAGCACCTTTCAGCATGAACAGATTCTGAGTACTGTTGGAAGCCATGAGGCCCCATGGAGAAGGTGGTTCTGAGATGAAACGTGAAGGATAGCTTGACTTTTCACAGATAAGGACAGGGTGGAGGAGAGAGGAGATCAGGGCCACTCTGTGAGTCTTGATGAAACATGGCTGCTCCCCAGTCAAATGCAGATCATGTCCAAACCAGCAAAGTGTCCACGTGATTCTCCCTCTCTCCTTTTTTCCTCTCCCTTTTCCTCCCTCTTTTCCTTCTTTTCTTTTTCCCTTCTTTTCTCACTCCTTTCTGCCTTCCCTCCCTCTTTTTAATCCTTGATATCATTTTTTTTTTTTGTCTTTTTGAGACAGGATCTCACTATGTAGTTCAGGCTGGTCTTGGGCTCACTTTGTAGCTCAGGCTGGTCTTGAACTTGCAAATGATTCTCCTGCCTCAGCCTTCCAAGAGCTGGAATGCACAACCATGCTTGGTTTTTCCTAGATAACTTTTATTGATATCCAGTTGCAGACATACATTCTGCTTCTTTCTAGCTTTAAATCCAGAGCAAAGTCTCACTTCCTTAAATCCTCCTCCAAATTGTTGACATAAAGTCTTTTGTAACACATTCCTAGAGAGATGCCCTATGGTCCCCTGACTGTGTGTTCTCATTACAAGTCAGCAGCCAGCTCTAACTGTGGGTGTGCATAGTCTTTGGCTAGAGGTCATCAACACTCCCTTTCATCACTCATAGCCCAAAAGCTTTCATGCTTTCTGGCTGTTTGGAATGTTTTACCCTATATCTTCACCTTCCTAGCCCCTCTTTATCTTTTTGAGATCATAATGGTTCCCAAGGTATAATCCTTACTCCTAACTCAAATGAAGATGGTTTTCAAGACCTTCTCTATTAGGTCCTTGCTGCTTGGATCTAATGTTGGTCTTTAGGACTCCTCCCTGCCCCACTTCTCTTTTTCTCCTCTTTCATTTTTTTCTGACATTCTTTCTATGTAGTACAGGTTAGCCTTGAACTTGCTTTGTAACACAATTTGATTTTGAATTCATGATCCTCTTGTCTCAGCCTCTGGAGTATAGGCATGGGCCACCTTGCCTGCTGACAGGCTTGGTTTTGCTGCAGTAACAAATGGCCCCGCAAGTCCAGTGGCTCTTAACAATAGTTGTTGGTTTTAACTTCTGTGGTTGGCAGTGACCCTGCTCTATGTCACCTCCACTCTGGATTTGACAGATGGAAGATCCATTAAGTGGAACATCACCAGTCTCATGGTAGACAGAAGAAAAGACAGTGAGAAATGTACTGGCTCTTGAATCTGCTAGAAAGCCACACATGTCAGCTCCATGGGCACATTAGTGGCCAAAATGAGTCACATGGCCATTGCTGAGTTCAACAGAGTGGAGATATAAAATCTTGCAGAAGGAAATTCAGAATATTTGGCAAACAATATTAAAATCAATCACAGAAATCATTTAAAGTTCAGTTATGAACAATAACAGCAATGCTAATGCAAAGCTTCCAGGTCATTTTCAGTTCTTTACATAAATTTATCTATGTTATCCTCATAACAACCCATATAGAACTATGATTCCGCACTTTACAAATGGGGAGACTGAGGCTCTAAGCAATTAAGTTTCAGGCCCCATATTGCAGATATTCAGTGGATCCACCAGGATACTGCAGCTGTGGTGGCGGGAACAGGTTGGAGGACTAGGAAGGAGCCCTGCATGATGTTCCTGTCTCCAGCTGCATGCCTGAAGCTCTTTCCTCCTCCTGCTGTTCCTCATTGACTTTCTCCTTTGCCCCGGGCTCTGTGGGGCCCCGCCCTTCCCATAGCTCTTACTCAGCTCTCCAGCTGAAAATCCTGTGTTTAGGACCTGCTGAACACCATAAAAATGTCAATTAAGTTGATTTAAAAATGCTTTCAGTCTGATTAACAACACAGTGTTCGTGCTGGTGCAGCTAGACGGGGATAAGAATAAATAATATGAATATTAAAAGGGTTCTGGTGTCATTAATTATCAATTATATGTTATCCTCACTTCCACCACTGTTTTGGCTGTTTGGGATGCCTTCCTCCCAGGAAAGAAAAATCCTTACTAAAAGTACAAAGTTTGGCTTTGTCACCAGTTGTGAAGAAATAATGCAGGCATTGTAGCCTTGTCCCCCGCCACCAGACTTGGGGTTCTTGCAACCTCACGCCTGTCTGTATCACTAGCAGTCTAATGGCAGTGTGAACCCAGTGGTGTGGGCTGTAATTCAGTTCAGCGTGATCACTAATGAGTGGTGTATGAACAAATGAATGAAAATAAAGTTTGAGTTTATGCTGCTGTGTACCTCACAGTATGAGTCTGGGTTCTGCTGTCCCTTAAGCTCTCTGACCCCAAATATGCCATTTAACTTTAATCTTTGAGTGTTGATTTCTTCTCCTGGAGATGAGACTAACAGTGTCTGCTTCACAGGCTGCAAATATTAAAAGAGTTGATGCCTGTTAGAGCGCTAGGCTGGTAGGAAGTGCTCAGTGAATATTGGCCACCTCTGTCTTCATTCATCATTGTTTTAATTGTAATTGCAATTCCGCAGTGAAGGAATGTATGGGTTCTCCATTTTATGCCCTCCGAGGATATTCTGGAGTCACTGAAAATGATGTTTGCACAGAAGTTTTAATAAAAAGATAAAACTTTTTTTTTTAAATTTTAAAGAGGCAGATTGCAGAATTTCATCTGCTTTAGGATTATGGTAATGTTAAAACAGACAAAAACTGAAAGGAGATGATTCAGACATTACTGATGATTTTTTCCTAGGTGGTGGAGTTATTATGTTTGGTATATTTTCTATGGGTTTTAATTTTTTACAATAAGCATGCTTTTTTAATTATGAAAATTTCCCCACAAACACACAAGTAGAAAAATGATTATTATGAACATTTAACCTACCACTTAGATTTAATGATTACCAACGTTTTGCCTTATTTTGTCATCTTTTTTCCTTTGGGGTAAAATATTTTGATTATTGACTTTAGGATATTTTATTCCTAAATATTTTAGTCTATCTCTAAAAAAAGAATGGGTATTTTTCAACCTATCGACAGTATCATGATCGCATCTGATAAAATTAAGAACATTCTCTTGAAGTCATCTAAAATACGGTTCATATCCAAATTTGCCCACTTGTCCTGAAGAATGTTTTGTTTATTTGTTCACACCATGATTCAATCAAGGATCATATACTGCATTTGGCTGCCATGTGTTCTACGAGCAACTTGTAACTCTGATTCCAGATTGATGGACATCTGCCCCTTTTGTCCACTGCATTGACCTACGGAAGAGACCAGGTCAGTACCTCCACTGACTCTCTCAGCTTCTGCATTTGCCTTTTCTTCATGGTTGCGCTGCTTTTATAACATGAGAAGAATCTTTATTTCAGACAGAGTTTCACTATGTAGTTCAGGCTGGCCTTGAACTCACTATGTAGCCCAGGCTGGTCTTGAACTCATGGCAATCCTCCTGCTTCAGTCTCCCAACTGCTGGGACTGTAAGTGTGCACCATCATGCCAGCCAAGAGGGAGTTTATAACAAATAACAACTCTGCCGCTCTTGTCTCTTTCCCAGCTGTGTGAGCATAACTACACTTTCCACATGCCAGGGATTGTTCACTGTATTTTTACTCTTTAATGCTCACAATAAGCCTTTGATATAAATACTGTTTTTATCAATAATGAAAATGAAACACACAAGTAAAACAGTCTGCCAAAGTCATAGATGAGCTATTCTGCTTTCAAATCAGTGCGTATTACAGAATCACCTTGCCATATCCAGAGAGGGTAAAGATGCTCCAAAGCGCAGGAAACTGGGGAGCCCACTCTGGCTTCCCTGGGGGATTATGGTGAAAACTGACTGAGGAAGCATTTCCTGCACCGCCCAGGAGAGGGCTGGAGACAAGTAATGGAGCTCTGTGCACTGTGTTTGAATCTATCTGCAGAGCTTGGAGCTGATCTCAGTGACGTAAGGGCTTCCTCTTCTTTTCTTTCTCCTACTCCTAGGAGGTTGAAAGGGTCCCTAAGGAGCTTGGACTTTTCCTTCACTGGACTTGAAAAACCAAGGTCAGCTATTTACATGCAAGGGTATCTCACACTAAAAAAGCAGCCTTTAGAACGGGATCTCATTTGAGAACCTCCATAGCCTCTCCATAGCGCCTAAAGCCGTAGGGACACATGGCTTTAGCAACTGGTGCATTCCTGGGTCATCTTTCATGAGCATCCTGGAGAAGCCTGGAAGTTATATGGTGTGCTCTGCAGAAGAACCAACAATGAAACTTTAAGCACTTGTGTCCTTAGCTCAGCATAATTTTGCTGTGCACAGCTGTGTATTTTTGCCCATAGTTTTGAAAATACTTGGTGATGTAGAAGAACTGGCTTTAAGGGGAGAGGAAGACCTGGCTTCTGAAGGGGGAAAGTGTCAAGACAATGAGAAGAGAGACAGACAAATTCAGGATTGCCCAGAAGTGTGTTTTGGGCAGCAGCAAGGCAGGAAGAGCCCCACACCCTGAGGCAGAGGGAGGCACACGCTTTAAGATACACAGAGGTGGGCTGTGACTAACTGGAATGGACCTGAGCATTCTTAAAAATTATTAACTGTGAAGTATCAGAAATCAAATAGTCCCAGTGTATTGGAAACCAAAAATTGAATTCAGTCAACCAAGTGCTGTAATCTTCTTTCTAGTCTTTCTCACAATCCAAACAGTTGTATTTGTAATCCCATTGAGACATTATTGGAATCGCTGCTGGTCGATTCCAATCTACCACCACCAATGCAACCTATGGTGAGAGTAAAAACACAAAGGCGTATTCCAAGTTAAGGGCAGCCCAGGGGCCTTAAGTCCATTTCCCATGAGGACATATGGACAAAGCCCTCGATCCTAGGCCTCTCCCAGCATTTATTATCTTGTGAAGAAAGGGAAGGGTCCCTTAGGGATGACTGATAGTCAGGATGTTGGGGATTACTGAGTAACTTGAGCTGGCTGGCCAGGTGCAAGGATTGTCATCTCTGTAATTTGCAGAGATAAAGACATGCAGAAGGATCAACTTACATAACCTGATTAAGGTAGCAGTAGAGTTGTTTTGGGGGGCTACTGCTTCCCTGGGGAGTCATAGCCTCTTATCTTGAGGTTCCTACCCAGCTGACATTCCTGGAGCAAATTGCTCTGCATCTCCCCAGCTCAATCTTGTAATGTGGAGAGCACCATGTGAGGAAACAGGACTGTCTGATGGCTAGACTTTGCACACTAACACCTCGGCTAGCCTTATTTGCAATGCTTAGAGCGAATTGAAGAGAGAAGGAAGTATCCTAGCCAGCTTTTCACATATCAGTATAAGGAAACGAGTTCCCAAGTAATCAAAGTCACAGCAATTGTTTTGGATCCAAAGGGAGTCACTGGAGTTGTCTCTCACATCTGTGATGGCTGCACATTAGCACCTGGGCAAGCCTTGTTTGCCATGCTCAGAGTTAATTGAAGAGAAGGAAATACCCTAGCCACCTTTTTACATATCAGTATAAGGAAATAGTTTCCAAGTATTCAAAGTCACAGTAATTGTTTTGGATTCAAAGGGAGACACTGGAGTTGTCTCCCACACCAGTGAGCATTGGTGACTAGCTAGAAACACCAAGATGACTATTAATGATTAGATTTGTCCTATAGGGTTTGGAATGCAAGTCAGGGTCACCAGGTAGGGAAGATGGTGAGAACAACCAAGATTGCAGTCAGGACAAGCCGAATCCCACACCATGCTACCTAGTTTCCCTAAGCCCAAGGGTTTGATATAATGCTGGATTTAACATTGTGAATTCTGTTTCCATTGTGAGGTTGCTGCTGAGGGATTGTGACTGTCCTGGGTTCCTGCTATCTGAAACAAAGAACTGAGCAAGACACGCAGAAGCAGAAGGGGAAGCATAAATTTATTAGACATATAATTACTGAGGGAGCCAGCCAGTAAGAAGAGCTCCTGGACCTGGTGAAGCCAGGTGTCAGTCTACATATGTGATTCTTACACACACATATGCACACACACACACCGGGGGGTGAGGGGGGAGGAGAAAGAGAGAGAGAGAGAGAGAGAGAGAGAGAGAGAGAGAGAGAGGGAGGGAGACAGGGAGACAGACAGAGAGAGAAGTTCTTTGACCTGGTAGTCCCCTTCTATCCACTGAAGGCTGGAACTTCTGTCCTTATATGGATCCTTGAGGAATTGTCATGGCATCCAAAGTCCATGGGTTGATGGGTTAAAACCACAATGCAAATGGGATTATAATTAACTACAATTAGGCTTAACTATTTGGGATACTCTATAGCACGTGTCCCAGCCTTGTCTTGGTGGAGAGAAGTGGGTGCTCTGTGGTTTCTGGAGAGCTTATCTTGGGCCTCTCAGACACCTGTAGTGCATGTCTGGGTCAGCTGTGGGCTAGCTGTCAGAACTGGGCACCCTGAGCAGTGTTTGGAAAGTTAGCTCCTTTGTCCTTTGCTTTCAGAATCCCATCTTCTAGAAATTTCTCTCTTCCTCCTGACTTAAGGTTGTGATAAGCGTTATTTCAGGGCATTGCTGATGACACTGTAAAAAGTAATGATGAAGATGTGGGAGCCCCCCTGTGGGGTGTCTTGCAGGAGTTGTAAATTTGGATATGCGGACTGGTTCAGTATGCAGCATGGGGTGCCCAGGAGAGCTGGCGTGTTCTAACACAGCCCTGCTCCAAGGCCAGGGTTGATTGGTTAAGGAGTTGGCAGCTGATGTGAGCACAGGCACTAAATCTCTGCTCTGGGATTGTAATTTGGGGAGGCAGGGGGGCCAGTCACTCACTCCTGTGAATTTAGATCTGAACTGCAAAGCAAGAAGCAGTGCTAGGGATGTTCTCTGTCCATAGAGGGAGATGGTTTGATTTGTGAATGGAGGGTGAATGTAGCCAGCAAGTGGGAGTAAAGAGAGCCAAAGAAATAAGGCCCAATTCCAGCTGCTCTTGGATCAAGCTTACTTCCCTGTGATGTGGGTTCATACACAGCATAGGAATTCATGCAGCCTAATTGATAAATTTGGAATTTTATTAGCTGAGCTCAGTGATCACTTGCATAGAGACCCCTGTTTCAGAGTACCATTGTGTGGCACTGAACTGGAAAGTTAGAGTTTTTAAAACAGAAAACCACAAAAAAAGACATTCTGATGGAAAAAGTTTAGCTAGAATCTTACATTAATTTTTGGTCCTGCTTCTTTGTTGAGCAGGTTAATTTTCTCTTGTTGGTTGTGACTCATTTTGCTTTGATTGTACTTTAAGTAGTTTTTCACTCTTCTGGGTCAAATCCAGGGCACAAAATGGTGTCAGTTATGCCATGCTATAATACCTGGGGTTTTATTCTTGAGCTCCAGGTTTGGCTTTTCTGAGCCAACTATTCTGTTGTCTTCAGCATATATTGCTTTTGGATTTGTTTCTGCAATTTATCGCTGAAGGTGTCTGCTATGGTAGGCTGTAGGACTCTTGGCAGTTCAAAGATGGGGCAGCTGGCGCGAGCCAGCTCCTTGTGCCTTCACTTCCCTTTATAGCTGAAGGCCAGCGTTGGGGCACCACCTTGCTCCAGGTATCCTCGCAAGTGGGTGACAGAATCAACACAAAACTTCAGGTTTTCTGGTTTCCTTTTCAGGGATTTTCTCACTTCTTGGATCTTCCACTTTCATATCTGGACAGCATATAATAATGACACATTAAGCCGTGATAAGCTACTATTTACTGAGTGCACACTAAGTTTAACCTTGTGTAAGATAGTTACATTGTTTGAATAGGATATTTCTATTCTCATTTTGCATAATGGAGTTTATTTTTTCATAGTGGACTTTAGAAAGGTTAAGCAACTTGTCCAAAGCCACTTAGCTAATAAGTCACATGATCAGGATTCAAGTGTAGGCACTCTGAGTTTTCAAGTTTAATCATGGTGCTCTGCTGCGTCTTTGTCTTCCAGCTCTACCAAGAGTGGTGGTGGCCACATACTGCTTTGAGCCAGGGCCCTGCTGAATCTGCAAGAAGTCCCAAGACAGCTATCATTTCCTGCATCTTGTGGCTATTGGGTGGGAAATATTGTTTTTGGACTTGTGTTATTTACCTAAGAATTTGCAGGGCTGCTTCTTGCTTAGGTAGCAAATACCTCTGCAAATATGGATGGGAAATTGGATTTGCTTACCTAGATTTGGGGCAAGCTCTGGGCCTTCTCAGGAAAGGTGTTGGTGCAATCATTTGAAGTGCAAAAGACACGGAGGATTCCACTCAGTAACCTAGTAAGAGAGCAAGGGATTCTTTTTTA